AACTTCTCAATGGAAGTCCTGTCAGTGGATTCTCCAACCCTTCCCTGCCAAACTATTGTTGAAGGAAACGACTACGGTACCTCCTTTTGGTATCGTACAGAAAGTTACGTCATTTAAAGGCTGAGTTATAATTTTTGGAGGGTCTAAGTTATGAGTAAAAAAGTTATGATCGATTATAGAGTCACAATTAGATGTAACTTGTTCTTTGCAATGTGTAACTTGTCCCTCATCAGTGGTATTTTTGCTATGTTACCGGAAACAATAGTCTTTTCCATTGTTGAGTATAACTGCTTGCCTATTGAAAAATTGCCTCCAGGGAATAGTATTTGAAACACTGCAACAACAATTTTCATCAGTACATGCACTGAACCGAGTTGAAAACCCCCACTGATCATTACTTTCAAACAATCATCAATTCAAATTCAAATAACATGAGCTTAATTGAGCTATGTTGGGTTGCTATTACACAATTAATCTAGAAAATCAACCTAAAAATAACACTGGTTTGATAGGTGAGACCAAGTCAACCTCAGAAATAGCACATTGCTTATAGTAAGAGAAGGTATGCTATGAGGCAAAATAATTTTTCTCGGTTATCCAATACAGAAAATTTCAGGTCAACCTCTTTTGACATTGCAGTTCTACAATTTAAATCAGTAATGCAAAATAGTTTTTTTCTTTATGATCAGTCTTACCTTAGCTGCTTGACTGCATCATACTCTTTTGCTCCAGAAAAGTATGCCTTAGCATTTTTGCATTGAGCGACCTACTGGAGCAATGACAATTGTTATGAACTACGCAAAATGAAAGCAACCTTACCACATAGTCATCTCTATGCAAAATGAAAGCAACCGGTTAATGAAAATAGTCAGGTTCAACTATTCTCGGTTTACCTACTTGGGTGTCATCATCCCCATTCTGTTACTCATATAAGCTTCAATAGTTTTGAGTTCTGTAAATTGCCATCAGCCTTAGCTTTTTCATGCCACTCGCATGCCCAGTTCCAAAGTAATGGGAAATAGAAGGCACAACAACTCAAGCAGCATTGTTCACCACCACCTGGGAAGCAAAATATTCAAGAGCCAGGCTGAAAATATATGCATGGATAGTGGTTGAATGACAAGGCTAATATGGAAGCTCAGAACAGAGCCATAAGATGCATAACATGCCTGAGAATGACGAGGTCCTGCTTTCTCAACAGCAGAATGGTCTGGACCCTTGCAAAAGAAAGGACCTCTTAAGTCTGACAACCTTCATTGGAAAGCTCCCAGTTGAATGCTTGTAAGAAGAACCACTTTACCTAATTAAATATTATTCAGGTTTGAGACGAAAGAACTCTTTTTATATCAATCTATGAAAATTTCAATACGAGTAGTGAGGTATAGAATATTGAGGGTTCATATAACACAGCATATGGCTACACAAAATGTTGTGAACCAACAGAGAGAAAACACTAAATCAGATGCAAAATCCTAAGGCTTTTACAGGTGGTCAAAATCCCAGGCTTATTAGTACAACCATGTCAAACAACGGATGTTAAGTTCAGTTAACACTCTCTTGAAGTAAACTACATGGTTGGGCATGCGATTGTGCTACGTCATCCTATCTCAAAAATAAAATCACATTGCACTTATGTTTACCCTAATAGCAGAGCAAAAATCACTAGTGTGGCAGAAAATTAAAGCAGGTGTTCACGACCTTACGCTGGGGTAGCAGCTTAGCTTCTTGGGCACTAGCAGCAGCCTTCTAATAGATTGAAGAGTAAGTTACAGAAAAACACATCGTCTGATAAACAGGAAGTGGATCTTACTAAACAAAATTGCAGCAAGAAAAACAATCAAGAATATTTTCTTCAGAAGGAACATAGTGCACTATAAAAGCATAGCAAACCAAGCCAAAATGAACTTTAGTCCCCAAACAACTTTTAAAAAAGAGAGAGAAATTTTGGTTCTCCCGGCAGAACCTTATGAGAAGATCCCACTTAGGAGGTCCACTCCTTCCCCAGACTACAGCCTCCCAATCTTAAACAGGTTTAGATCTGACATCCTGAAAGACCTCTCCTCTCTGCACCACACCAAAGGGGACAACAAAGAATCACACATCAACCCTTATCCAGAATCCTAAGACAGCAGCCACCATAGCATCCTTATCAGCGGTACAACAAAATTTCAGGAAGTGAAAGCTTTAAAATTACATCACCACGTGGCCATATAACTTTTTGTACTCTGATTTCTAAGCTCAAGTAGCAGCATATTAGCCCTCTTTGCTCCTTCACTGCTAAGAGCAATAATGTCTTGCTGCATACTTGTATCATTACATCAATATTGCATGATATAAAGTTTTCATGGAAAAGAAAGGAGAGTGTAAAGCATAGTAGATGAAATGTCAAACGCTCCGTAGAACTTTTCCTATCTCTTGATAGCTTTGACAGCTTAATCAAACACAATATTCTTGCATGCCCAACAAAGAGATAAACAAGAACAAGAGGGAATCATGAGATGCAATGCACTTAATATTGAAGTTGATACAAGGCAACAGGCACAATACTGAGTGCAAGCAAAACAAAAAGTCTTAACATTCATATTCCATCAGAAACTTCAGACACCAATGCGTCCAGTCCGAGAATAATTTTTTGCAAAAAGAGAAGACCACATTACTTCTTGGAAGAATTTATCATTTTAAATGCATAATCTGTTTTTTTCAACATAAAATACTACCACATATCCACAAACTTTCAATGGTTTCGGTAATGAATCACTAAACTTATTTTGCTTTAGTTGGCCTAACCCCCATCTTTACAAAAGGGGTGTACTCAGTCGACGATGAAGATTATAGTAAAATATTTCACAAGTATATTGACATTCTAATATGAAGAATGTCCATTTCAGAAGCAGGAGACAAGAAAATCTAGAGCATGCTACAATGATTTCGAGAGAACCTTTAGGCAGATTTTGAGTGAACCATGCACATAAACACACACACACACACACAACAGAACTGGAGATACTCTTGGAATGCATTGTGCTTGATGTCAGATGAATACATGAATGGAAAAAGATAGAACACCACATGCAAACATAACAGGATTAGCTCAGCAGCCAAATTGCATCCAGATACCTCAGAGATCACTTTTTTTCGTCTGACATGGTAATGATCATCTTTTACCCTCAGTAATTAGCTTGTTTTGGTATGTACTCATGGTTCTCATTTTTCTAATTATGAAGAGTGGCTAAGCAATCTGCCATTTGTTTGATTCTGGCACTTGCATTCTTGTGAGGAAATATTTGCATGTCATGTAGTCTCCGTTATTGTCCTTAGGTTAACTAATTGTACAAGAATACTGGATCTGTCAAAACTTTAGCTTTAGATTTCATATCCTGCCTAAGGTTAAGACAAAATACTTGATAACAATTTGTGCAGAGTAAACATGACCATTACATACCATAATAATTTTCACAGGGCACAGAAAGAGAAGTAAGATGTGGAAGAACTACAGCTAGAATGCAATTTTTGTGTTGGTTCAGAAACCTAAATCATGGAATTACATAATATGCAATTAAAATTACTTTTTAGAGTTCAAATATACACGCCATAATTCCTTTTCAGGAAATCCGATATTTTTGTTCACCTGAAAAGTTAATGCTCCAAATTCTGTAACATTCTTGATATCTCTTCCACTTTCAAAGTTCTCCGTCAGTATAGATGAAAATTTTGAAAACCTGGAGGAATTTTGAAAGCCTACAAATTTCCAAAAGCATATGAATGCATTAAACACCATGTCATTAAGAAATTGGAACTCGCAAAAAGATTATTTTTATGGGACAGGAATAGCCTAATTATGTAGCTTTTCTACAATTAAATTGACCATAATCAGGTAGAATGTCTCTTCGTGTAGAGGAAAGAGGGCAAGAAGATTAAACTAAGAGCATACTACAACTATTTTTACAGACACGCACACTCACATGCAATTTATCCCTAAGATGCTAAAAGATTCTTACCATCAAGATTGCAATTGAAGAAACAATGTATCGAGATATTAGTTTCCATCAAATGAAGTTCTCAATCTTCACAGAGGTGCTGCGTCATGATGAACCAATGCTGATGCACTCCATGTATTGTATTTGTCAATACATTATCTACACAGCCTAATGGGTCTGAAATTTTTCTCTAAAATTAAAGCTAACCGCATCAGCAGAATTCAGCAAGAATTATCCATAGTCTTGTCTGATTCATATTCTGAATACCGATAATCATCTGACTCCCCTTCATATTGAAATCCACTGAGTTCACCACCAGAAATCCTCTCTAAAGGATCCTCCTCTAGACCCTCACACTTGTTTTTCTTGTATAACCCCCTGCTCCTATCCACAAACCCTTTTTCCATCAAACTTGCATATCTTTCCCTGATATCAGTTAGGGGGTGTTTCTCTATGAGTCTGTGGCGGTCATAAGCTTCCCTTAGAACAACAGTTTGGGTGTCACACTTCTTAGAAATGTAGAAAATGCCAGGATGCCGCTCAAACACCTTGGTAAACTTGAAGATTCTTACCATCAAGATTGCAATTGAAGAAACAATGTATCGAGATATTAGTTTCCATCAAATGAAGTTCTCAATCTTCACAGAGGTGCTGCGTCATGATGAACCAATGCTGATGCACTCCATGTATTGTATTTGTCAATACATTATCTACACAGCCTAATGGGTCTGAAATTTTTCTCTAAAATTAAAGCTAACCGCATCAGCAGAATTCAGCAAGAATTATCCATAGTCTTGTCTGATTCATATTCTGAATACCGATAATCATCTGACTCCCCTTCATATTGAAATCCACTGAGTTCACCACCAGAAATCCTCTCTAAAGGATCCTCCTCTAGACCCTCACACTTGTTTTTCTTGTATAACCCCCTGCTCCTATCCACAAACCCTTTTTCCATCAAACTTGCATATCTTTCCCTGATATCAGTTAGGGGGTGTTTCTCTATGAGTCTGTGGCGGTCATAAGCTTCCCTTAGAACAACAGTTTGGGTGTCACACTTCTTAGAAATGTAGAAAATGCCAGGATGCCGCTCAAACACCTTGGTAAACTTCTGCGGCAAGTCCAGTGGCTTACGGAGATTGCTCACATTTTTGCGCTCAGTTTTCTTCTGTATGGTGAGATGCAAAAGCTCATGAAAGACACCAACTATCCTCTTCTCAGACACATCGGTACGCGGATCTAAATGGGATGAATCAGTGTATGGAGAAGTATAAGGGAGCTTCTGCCATTCTTCCAACCACTCCATGCATTTTCTCTTCAGTCCAAAACCCCTTGTGAATCCAATTGAGAAGGCCAAGGTCCCATTTCTCCCATCTCCTTCCCTTCCCTGCACAAGGGCATTCTTCTCCAACTGTGAAACAGCAAATCCATCGTCCCAGACCAGAAGTTTCAAGCCAAAACGATTGTCAGGAAGGCTAACAACAGAGAATAATTCTGGGTATTGTAAAATCAATGAATTCATATAATCAAAAGGCAAGCCCAAGTCCCATTTTAGCTGATCAATTGTTTGTAAAGGAAGAGTCCTATCCTTTGTCAGCATGAGCAGCTTCCGAAGCCTATCAACAAGACCCATTTGACACGCTTCCACAACCCTGACTTCTTCTTGGTGAAGAGACAAGGCTTGGGGAGTTAAACGGAACCACGGGACACGAGTGCCTCCATTGTTAGGAAGATGAACTTCCTCGAAAATAGAAGGATATTTTCTGGTAAATGTTGAAATCTTAGTATTTTGAGGGAGACCCAGTTGGCCTCTACAGCGAGAGAAGTGGTAGAGAGGAACGCAGCATTGGGGGTTTGAAGCGATGATGGAAACAAGGAGAGAAACTGCCCTGAGCTCTCTCCCACCAGCCACAACAGAATCTAATACACGATCTTTCACCCATTTTAGCTTCACATTGACCAGACCCTTTGTCTGTTGGTAATTAAACCCGCCAGTGATGAAATGGGAATTACCACCTCCTGCCCTACCCTTCAACAACCACCACGCAACCATCCAGGGTTTCAATGCTCAAATTTTTTAATTTTCTTTGGTTTTTACCAGATTTCTCTGCAATTAAATAGCAAACAAAAAGCAAAATACAGAGAGAGAGAGAGAGAGAGAGTATGGAAAATTGGAAACCTAGTACCTAACTACCGATGCTTTCTTGCTATCTGCAGAAGAACTGTGTGAAAACGGAAGACGCTTTGCAAAATGGTGAACCTAAGGGTGCAGCTTCTCTGCTGTGAGGAGCTAAGTGGGACGACGTCGTTTCGTTTCATTCTTAAACGATGTCGTTGTTTAGTAGACTGAAAAAAAAAAATTCAAACGGCATCGTTTTCTGCCAGAGATCACTTCAAAATCCAGCCCTAACCATTGAACGATTTCAAAATCCATTGAACTCCTCTCTTCTCTGTAGATGCCAACGATCCCCACAGTGAACGAAGTTCTCTTCGTTCTATTGTGCTTCAATAGCAAGATAAGTTTTATTTTCTTGTCTTATTTGGGTTCAGCCTCCCGTATTTTATTCAATTGTTGTGCCCTAACCACATTTTGATTGTATGAGTTTTTGGTATTTGGGTTGAACAAGTTTAATTCATCATATATATGGGTTTTTGGTATTTGGGTTGGGCAAGTTTGATTCATTAGCATTTTGGTATTTTTTTCGGAAGGTACATTTTTGGTATTTTTGTTATGTTGTTTCTTGAATCTGCTGATTCATTATCAATTTTTTTAGCAAGTGTGATTCAAGTCAGATTCATTTGCTCCTACATTTTTTTTTGCTAAGTTCGAATTCATAACAGTGGACTGAATTTTTTTGTCAAGTCTGAATTCATAATAGTTGGATACTGAATTTTTTAGAGCATGGAGAAGTCCTAGTCATGCAAGCATTTTTGAATATAAGTCTTATTCATTTGGTAATCTTTCAATTTTTATTTTTTATTTTTTGCTATAACAGTCTGATTCAAGACTGCGCATTCATAATTGTTAACTCGTTCATTTTTTGTAGCGTTAAAAAATGATATTGTCAATCATAGAAGGAAGCAGTGGAGGTCTAATGTACCGAAATATGCAATGTGGATGTGGGCACAGAGCACTTGTCAAGATTTCAGAATCTGCAAATAATCTAAGAAAATTATATTGCCATTGTCCAAGTTCGAATAATAAGAAATGTGGGTTTTTCAAATGGTTGACTCCTGAAAAAGTTGAAACGAGACTAACAAGTGAGACTATAGAGAGACGAACAAATCAAGATGTTAAAACGAGGTTGAACATTGATGAAATGTCTAGCAGACTTAAACATCTTCAAGCAAATGAAGCAGCAACAATGTTTAAACTTTAAGGACTTGAGGCAAATGAGGGAGCATTTACTATTTGGAAGCTTTGGGATATCACTTTTGATGTTTTTGTTTTTTTGTTATAATGCCAAAAAGATTACAAAAATATTAATACAATATCACCATCATATTAAGAACAAAATATATCATTAAACATATTGATAATCACAATGTTTAAGATGTTTAATCTTCATGAAATATATTGAAAAGCTTAAATGAATATTTTTTTGATAAACGAAATATGAACAATATATTCCTGGTAAACAAATTTACAAGATATTGATAAATATTTTTTTTTTTTAACATCGATTACAATTTCAATGTGATAGTAGTACATTTTCAAAGATTAAACATGATCATAAACAATATGAAATCACTTAAAAACAAAAAAAAAACACTTGAACTTACAGATGAGGATGGTGCCGAACAAATGGAGTGAAAGAGGAGTTGCTGGTTTGTGATGGATGGTTCCGAACGTCTCTGGTCTGGTTTGAGGGCAGGAGAGTGTGATAGGTTAGTTGCTGAATTCTTGTTTTTGGAGGGGAAGATCGGCTGGTGTTTCCTTTGGCAGAAAAACAATGCCATTTGAATTTTTACTTTTTTTAGCCTACGGCAAAATGACGTCGTTTAACGCTGGAACAACATCATCCCACTGCTGTTAAGCTGAATCTATTACCAAAATGCAGTGATTTTTAAACAATATTATCAAAATGCAGCTGTTTTAAACTTATTTACCAATGTATGGCTGTTTTTAAAGACGGAATCAACAAATCCGACTTCCTGTGAAAGCGGATTTACTACATCCGACTTATTTTAAAAGCGAAATTAACAAGTTCGCCTTCATATTAAAAGCGTAATTGTTGATACCGCCTTTTAGATGAATAATCAAATGAGTTTTCACATAGAAAGCGGATTCATGGAATCAAATGAAGCGTATTCCATAAACACACTTTTATTTGTATATCCTGCCCCATTTCTGTTATTTCGTTTCACAATTTTTCCTCTCTCTTCTCTCTGGCATTTGAACATAGAGATGTTTAGCTCTCTTCTCTTCTCTGTGCATTGATTCCATCTCCATTTCTTCTCCCACTAGGGCCCCCCATTTCCTCTTATGTGTGCTTCGCCTCCCCTAAGCTCAGCTATAAACCCTAACTTATCGTAGCCCTAAGGTTCTACGAAGAAGACAACTGAGGTTCTGCAAGATTCGAAGCGTGAGATTCTCCACACTTGCTATTGAGCCCTAATTGCAGTGATGAGATTCTTAATAGGCCTAGTTTACTCAGTCTTTTTTTCAAATCTTGCAGTGGAGTGGTGTACACCCGTGGCCTGGGTCCGTAGCAAGGAGAAGACAGGTTTCACGTGTTGAACAGGAAACCTTCTATATAACCAGGTATGCTTCAATTTACTTTGTAATTCAGTGAATTACGTAGTTTAGAAACATATCCCCATTGCCCAATCCCCATCACTATTGAATTCAGAAATCCCCAAGTTTTACTCAAACATTCTCACCAAGTGTTACTCAAAAACATTATACCATTGTCCAATCCCCATCACTGTTGAATTCAGACATCCTTACTGCATCAGAAATCCCCAAGTTTAACTGCTTTGTTATTGCATCAGAAATCCCCAAGTGTGCATCCTTCTGTAATTGACTGTGTGAAAGTATTTTGTGGACTGAATTTTATTCAGAATTTTAATTTGAACTGCATCCATGCAATATATACTGAATGCTTATTTCTGGATAAAATTATATTTTTTTTTCATTAGTTGGAATATTGTATTATGGATATTGTATTATGGAAGGGCTTGATCATGGATACTGTATTATGGAATGTTGAGGATTTTTTTTATTTGTTTTATTTTTGTAGTGAGATTGAGGGTTTGAATTCAGATATCATGCTTTACTCATTTAGTCCTTGTCTGAAACTTCTTCTTGTTGATACTGTTTTTTGTAATTTGCATTGGGTGATATACTGCTTCATACAGTTAGATGGAATACATGACTGTAACTCGTACAGAATGACCATACTTTAGTGAGATATACCCTCCCTATTTAGTGAGATCAAGTTCTTCTTGTTGAGGTTGTCACACCTTATCATTCCATCTGGTCTTCTAATTTAAGTGAAATGCTCAGAACAGCCTTGGTAGCTCAATTTCTTTTGTTCATTCGTAATTATCTGAAAATTTTAACATTTTATAGGTTTAGCTGTTGTATATCCCTTAGATTGAAAGGTAAGTTTTATAAGACTACTATTAGACCGATAATGTTCTACGATATAGAATGTGCTCAAATACCACCGTAATCGTTTGTTGGATTGCCATTGAATGCTAGAAAAAGAAATAATTTAAAGATCTGAATGTTTCTATTGTTTTGGCTTACAAAAAAATTAAAATTCTGGTAAAGCCAAATTGTAATTGAGCGCTCTTTTCACTAGTTAATGGAATTCTTATATTTAAATTTCCTATTTTGGGGAGTTTCACTTGCATTAATTAGTGATAACTGAATAAGTACATTAGAAAAACCAAAAATCCCTGGGCACTAGCTAGAATAATATGATGTTTATGATTCCCTTTGCTTTCATATACATGCTGCATGTTTGTGGTGTTAAGATTTCTCAATGTATCAATAGTTTCCAGATTATCAATCATCAATATCTTTTCCCAGGTACACCCCAAATTTCAGGAGAAACAAAACTAAACTTATGATGTCTCCGCCACCACAAACAGTACCACTCCCACTTCCACCTTGTTAATCATTGTTAGCAACAAACAGCTTTCCCAGCCTTCAGTTATTGGCCCATTGAATGCAACCTCTACTACCTTTTAGTTAATACCATCACAATGGTCGCACCATTACACACTGGCAACACCTTGAGTGACTTGATGCCAACACCAGCACCACATTATACTAGTTCATTGTCTAACAAAATGAGACTTCCTTGGTTGCACATAATGCATATAAGCACAACAATTCATGCCCGGGGAAAAATTTGTATCCATCAATATGATGATTTGTACTTGGGACCTCTCCAAACTTGGAAAATAACATATTGTCAAAGACTAATGGGAATTGATTGGAGACACTTTGATTCTTAGGTCAATAAAAGTCTCAAAGAATATGTGATGTGTACTTGAGTCCTTATAGATTATTGTTATTTATAAGGAAGGGATTCCTGTCAACAGAGGAGCTGTAAACAAACAAGTCATTTAAGGTTTTGTAAAATCACAAAGTACATGAAAAAGGTTGCATAAGAAGCCCAACCACATGAAAGAAAATTGCAAACAAAAGAAGTACATAATAAAAACTCATAAATCACATTTACTTATCGTTTCCAGAAAAGATCTTCTACACTGAACAAATAAATCAAAAGACTCATCTATTTCCAATAATATTTGTTAGGGGCTTTTTTATTATTATTAATTTTTTTTTTTTTTTTTTGGGGGGGGGGTGTTGGGGGGTGTGATGTTTTCAAACACTACAAGTCAAAAAACTCCCAAAAAGCCCTTTTCCTCATTATTGATATGACTTACAGCTCGTTGAGTCTAATTTTCTGAGCTGAAAACTTAAACTGAAGATCCAACCCCTTGCCCTATCCATGTTTCCAATATTGACTGCCTCATGATAGAAAAATCATCTTAATCTCAATCATAAATATCTCCTCAAAATAAAATTTACTAAAAACATGATCATGGTCAGAAGAAAATGAGGAAGCAAATCATTGTCAAACTACCTCAATTAGACTTCCACTTGAAACCAATTTCTCAGACAAGTCCTGGTACAGATACGCAGCAGTAAATGCTGAACCACTGGGTAAAGAGACCTAACATTAAAGGAAAAAACATCGGTCATAAGAGACCTGCTGCAACCTAAATTTTGAGGGGAAATTAGTCTTTATTGCTAGCAAAAGGATCTCACACTAGAAAGAAGTTCAGAAGCAGCCTTCTTGACTTCTTCAACTTTGATATCTGATTGGAACATCAAACTGAAGTTCTGCTGAAACCCCACTCCTTGTGCCTGTGATCCTTTCATACATCTTATCCAAAAATCAATGGACTGTGAAAGTTCACCACAATGCTGTGACAAAGTTGTGATAAATGACTCATTTACAGAGAAAGCACAAAGAGCATGGCCAAGCCTTCTGTATTCCCACAGCATAGCCAAACATTTATGCAATGGAACACCCTTCCATTTAAACGATCTGATCAATATCTCAAATACATCAAGGTGAAAGTTCATGAGCCCCTGGAGTAACAAAGCAGAGAAAGTATTAGGAAGTAAAACCAGTATTACGCCAAAGATATCACTACACAAACATATAGTCATAACAAAAATCATAAAACTTACCTTAACTAATAACAAATCAACAACACTATACAACAAAATCAAGGTGTTTTCAGGAATCATATTGCAGTGTTCAGCTTCATGGCAATGATCTGGACTCGACCACTAGATTTAGAGATGGCTCACCAATGTAGAGATGGCTGCTGATAGACACTGAATGTACTCATACAGACCTTTGATTCCACAGGCTCATAATTCCCTTCCTTTTGTTAACAGAATTTGCGATTTCTGTAAACAACTATCTTGCATCACATACACCACTTCTAGGAGGATGCCTATAATATCCATTCGCATTCTTCGACGAAATCTTGGGTTCAAAGCATTCATTTCTTTATATGGTAGAAGCTGCTAAACAAAGTTTAAGCAAGAATATGGACACAAAAAGCTGTTATATCTAGCAAATAAAAAAATCAAATCCAAAAGAAAGATACAACGAAGGACATCAAAGTGAGACTTTAGGAGAAAGAGAAATAGAGGAACCCAATCTGCCCTAATAATATGCCGAGTGCCTTTTTTGACACTTTTGGTGAACGAGTTTGCAGCAAAGAATATAAGGTTGTAGTGATGTGATCATCCTTATAGAGTTTACATGCTACTTGGAAACCAGGTAACAATCAGACAATAGAGACAATTACATAATGCTACATACAGCAGACCATAAACTGAAAAACTCTCTCCGATGATTCTATTTACCTTCTTACTGTTTTTTTAATGTGAAAAAAATAATCTTTGATCCTACCCAAGTTTACATATCCAAACAAAAGATATGTGGCCCCCTTGACCCTATCCTTCATGTAATTTCATCTAATCCGGTGAAATTCATGCTTAATGTTAACTTAAGAGCTATATTTCTGGCTTAAGGTTTAAGAGGATTCTACTTTTCTTGAATTTAAAGGATCAAAAGAATTTCATTTTGCCTAAATCCTAAATGTTACCAGCTTATATGTTTAAAAGTATAATATGTCATGCTATCCATGACACCACATTTTAATATGAAAATTATTTGATATTATATTGTATATTGAAGGTATAAAATGTCGAGGAGACGCGCCACAGTAATTTGCTATTGGGGAGGTAATATTATTTACAACGAAGGTTGTTTATCGTACAACGGAAAGGCTCAACATTGTATGAAATTAAAACCCGGAACAACATATGATGAATTGTACACCATGTTGTATACGATAATGCTGTTGGACAGTTCATCATCACAACTACAACTAATTTTTCGGTTTCCAATATTTTTGGGGGATTGCATGCAGCATTACATTGAATTTGAAATAAAAAATAATGCGGGTGTCGCGGCGATGGTAGATGCTGTTGTTGAAAACCGTGCATTGAATAGTATTGGCATGTACATTCAGGTAGAGTCAATCCAACAGTTTCCTCATGCAATGATGAATCAGTATGCCCCGTATATAGAATTGCTTACGCAGGAGAGCAACAATTTGTGTCCCAGTCAACATGGGCATGAATATCTGGCAGATGAGTCTTATGTGCCAGAATTGCATATAGGGCCCAGTACTCATACGTCAACGTATTTGAGATACACCACATGTTCTTCCATTGTTGGTATCCAATGTCATGCTCAATCAAGGACTGAAGTCATTTAAAATTTGGTTCAGTCAGACGCTCATTTATTGGCAACCAATGGAATGTGTGCGATTGATCGTGCAGACGACATTGACGATGAGGATGAGGAGATTACATTGATGGACGATGTGACAAACCTTAATGATGACGCTGATGAACGTGGCCCATCAGTTATACTGGAAGACACTGTTCGTATGCATGAGCCAACGTCAACCTTCTTCACCAATGAAGAACTTCCCCAAGTGTCTGCCCCCAGCAATCAAACAAGAGCTCCATTGTGGGACTCAAATCGGCCTGAGTTATCCATCGGCCTAATCTTTAAGGATAAATCGGAATTGCAAGATGCAGTGAAGATGTATTCAATCAACAATCACGTCCAATTCGAGGTTGTTGAGAGTGAAAAAAAGTTATTGACTTTGCGGTGTAAAAAATATCAGTCGGGGTGTAAGTGGAGGCTGCAAGCTATTCAAAAGAAAACGCACGAGCTTTTTCAAATTACCAAATATGAAGGCCCATACACTTGTGTGCATGTGTCAACCACTGAGGACCATGTGCAATTAGATTCTCAATTTGTTGCACGCCAAGTACAAGAGCTCGTCGGGCAGATCCATCTCTGAAGGTTGTTTTGCTAATAAAACACATTTCCACTGTGTATGAGTACGATATATCGTATTAGAAAGCATGGAAAGCAAAACAAATTGCGCTGGCAATGCTATTTGGTGATTGGGATGAATCATATTCTATTTTGTTGAATTTCCTTGCTGCACTGCAAAAGTATAATGAGGGCACAATAGTCAGATGACAGGTTGCCGACCTTGGAAATGGGACGACTGTATTTGACAGAGTGTTTTGGTCATTTAAACCGTGTATTGATGGTTTTTGACACTGTCGTCCACTTATAAGTATCGATGCCACATTCCTGTACGGGAAGTACAAGGGGAAGTTGTTAATTGCTATAGGCCTCAATGGAAATCATCAAATTTTTCTTCTTGCCTTTGCAATCGTTGACGAGGAAAGCATAGATACATGGGGTTGGTTTCTTTGGAGACTTAGACAAGATGTAGTCGGTGACCGTCCAGGCATATGCCTGTTATCTGACCGGCATATAGGTATAATTCAATCAGTTGTTGCTCATGGTTCTGGATGGGAAGCACCGTATGCATACCATCGCTATTGCTTACGACATATCCAGAGTAACTTCAACAGTAAGTTTCATAACTCTCATCTTAAACGTCTAGTATGGGATGCTGGTTCTACACATCAAATTCGCAAGTATGACAAGATTATGGCAGAAATCCACGCAATCAACCCAGGTGCCGGTCGTTGGCTTAATCAGATACCAAAAGAGTAGTGGGCACTTGCACATGACGACGGAAGACGTTATGGAGTCATGACAACCAACATTTCTGAGGTGTTCAACTTTGTCTTAAAAAAAGCAAGACATTTACCGATCACGGCATGCGTTGAAATAATATTTTACAAGGTTATTCAGTATTTCAATGATAGGCATGGTTCGGCGTCAGATAGCGAGTGCGCTTTCACACCTAATGCTGTGGAGAAGATGACGTATGTTTCTATCAAAAAAGTCGGTCAAAATGTTACCACATTCAGCCGTACCACCGGAGAGGCATATGTTGTCACCAAAAAAGGGAATGCACAGGTACTAAATATTTTTGACCACACATGTTCATGTGGAAAGTGAAACACCTATAAAATGTCATGCTCTCATGCAATGGCGCTTTTTACGAAGAGGCATTTAGACCCGTGGCAATATGTAGATGAGATATACATTGTTGCTGCCCATGATGCCGTTTGGTCGAGTGAATTTCATCCTCTACATCATGCTGACTATTAGGATGCGGTAAGTGGTCCAATAATCTGTCCTAATCCGAACCTACTACGGACGAAGGGTCGTCCCCAATCTACTCGCATTCGAAATGAAATGGACTTACGACAGGGTCGTAGTACGTAGCAATGCAGATTATGTAGTCAACCTGGGCACGATAGACGCACATGCCCATCAAAAACGACATAAAATATATGTATGTGTTAGATCATGTGGATGAGTATGTAATGTGATGCTGTAATAAATGAACAGTGTTCATGTAAATAACTATGTTCGCATAATGTAATGATGAAAATTTAGTACTTCTATTTATGTCATTACATTCCTCACGTCTATATTCAATGAATATTCATTTTTTGTACTTGTTGCAGATCTCTAATTCAATTGAACTATGTCTACATCTCGAAGACCAATAGGTGCGAACAATCGCAAAAAACAACGGGTTTGGCTTTTGACATAGCAAAACGATGATTACAAAACAGAAAAATTTACTGACCCAAAAGAGTATTATGCTGGAGTAAGACGAGAATGGGCATTTCATTCTACTGAATCAAATGAATTAAGCACTGAGTTAAGAGAACTTGGTATACCCGTGCCACGCCGAATATCTCTAATGATGCAAAGAAGGAACAGACAAGATTACGAATTAGCAGTTACACAAGTTCACAATGAGAATAATCGAATGTTGGCTCGTAGGCGGCGATATTATATGGTTCAACTAGCAACCGACTTAGTAACAAATGCATATGGACGAGCCTTATCAGATGTAGAGCATAATAATGTGTTAAATCATGAACAATACATATCAGATGATTATATGTCTAATGAAGAATAAGCAATGTTGTACTGAAACAGAACGTAGTTTGTTGTACTGACATGTATTAAACGTTGAACAATGCATATTAATCAAATGTATGTATGGCTATTTTGCGAGTGTATGTACTTTTTATTATTATTGTTAAATAGACAGTCATTTAATTGGAACAAGCTATGGAGCGTCAACAGGCGTGTAACTTAGTACACCCGGGACCTGTTGACCCAGTAGTATTATACTTGCAAGGACGACATCGATCCACTCAGATATGGGATGGACAGGCACGTAATATAATGAGTACAATACATATATTTATACCATAACCCACCAATTACACCTTTTAATTAATTTTGGTATTATGTAAAGAAATTACCACCATTGAAGTGTTGTCGGGCAGAGGCGACTATGCGTTGTTTGCGACGACCAGATGATAGGGTTTTGTGGCGTGTTATGACTGCCGGATTTTATGGGATACACTATCTTGGGTTTATATAGCTGGACCACCATTTGGTCATAGCATTAGTGGAGCGGTGGAGGTTAGAGACTCATACAATACATTTGCCCATAGGCGAGGCGACAGTGACATTACAGAACATGACACTACTATCTGGACTACCCATTGACGGTGATGCAGTGACCGGTGTTGACACACATCGCACATTAGATGAGTGGCAGGATTATTGTGAGGAGCATCTAGGCATTAGGCCACCGCACACTGCGTTCACTGGATCGCGACTTAAGTTGACCAGTATTGCTACTATATTTGTTGAGCTGCTGCGAGCAGATGCTGATGCCATGACCATTGATCGC